TGTGCCGAATTGGGTGTGGGTGACGCATGCGGGCGGCAGCACTGGGCCTTCGGCGGAGCTCCTATGGGGCCACGAAACGTGTGAGGGGTGTGCCGAATTGGGTGTGGGTGACGCATGCGGGCGGCAGCACTGGGGCCTTCGGCGGAGCTCCTATGGGGCCACGAAACGTGTGAGGGGTGTGCCGAATTGGATGTGGGTGACGCATGCGGGCGGCAGCACTGGGGCCTTCGGCGGAGCTCCTATGGGGCCACGAAGCGTGTGAGGGGTGTGCCGAATTGGGTGTGGGTGACGCATGCGGGCGGCAGCACTGGGGCCTTCGGCGGAGCTCCTATGGGGCCACGAAGCGTGTGAGGGGTGTGCCGAATTGGGTGTGGGTGACGCATGCGGGCGGCAGCACTGAGGCCTTCGCGGAGCTCCTATGGGGCCACGAAACGTGTGAGGGGTGTGCCGAATTGGGTGTGGGTGGCGCATGCGGGCGGCAGCACTGGGGCCTTCGGCGGAGCTCTTATGGGGCTACGAAGCGTTGTACTGGGTGGGTGAAACGCAGGGAAGAGGGGGAGGAGGGAGGAGGAGGGGGAGGAGGAGGAGAAGAGAGGAGGAGAGGAGAGGAGGACGCGGGGACCGTCTCTTCAAAACGAGGACCCAACACCACAGGATGGTTGGGAAAAAAAACGCCCGCAAGGTCCAGGTGCCTGATGTGGGGGACGTCAGCATTGTTTTGGGCCTGCGCACAGCAAGCATCATCATGTGGGCACCACCGCCGTCCCTTTCAAATTATCCTGGCGAAAGACCCAACCATATGCAATTGTGAGTACCGCAATTGTGAATATCTTCTTCGGTGGCGCTCCCTATGGGGCCACGCAACGTGTAAGGGTGTGCCGAAATGGGTGTGCGGGACGCATGTGGGCACACTCACTGGGGCCTTCGGTGGAGCTCCCTATGGGGCCACGAAACGTTAAAAGGTGTGCCGAAATGGGTGTGCGGGACGCATGCGGGCACACCCACTGGGGCCTTCGGCGGAGCTCCCTATGGGGCCACGAAACGCGTGAAGGGTCACGAAACGCGAGAGGGGTGTGCCGACATGGGTGTGCGGGACGCATGCGGGCGGCAGCACTGGGGCCTTCGGCGGAGCTCCTTATGGGGGCCACGAAACGTGTGAAGGGTATGCCGAAATAGGTGTGCGGGACGCATGCGGGCGGCAGCATTGGGGCCTTCGGTGGAGCTCCCTGTGGGGCCACGAAACGTGTGAGGGGTGTGCCGAAATGAATGTGCGGGACGCATGCGGGCGCGGGCACTGGGGCCTTCGGCGGAGCTCCCTATGGGGCTTCGAAACGTGTGAGGGGTGTGCCGAATTGGTGTGCGTGACGCATGCGGGCGCGGGCACTGGGGCCTTCGGCGGAGCTCCCTATGGGGCCACGAAACGTGTGAGGGGTGTGCCGAAGTGGGTGTGCGTGGCGCATGCGGGCGCGGGCACTGTGGCCTTCGGCGGAGCTCCCTATGGAGCCACGAAACGTGTGAGGGGTGTGCCGAATTGGGTGTGCGTGACGCACGCGGGCGCGGGCACTGGGGCCTTCGGCGGAGCTCCGTATGGGGCCACGAAGCGTGTGAGGGGTGTGCCGAATTGGGTGTGCGTGACGCATGCGGGCGCGGGCACTGGGGCCTTCGGCGGAACTCCCTATGGGGCCACGAAACGTGCGAGTGGTGTGCCGACATGGGTGTGCGTGACGCATGCGGGCGCGGGCACTGGGGCCTTCGGCGGAGCTCCGTATGGGGCCACGAAACGTGTGAGGGGTGTGCCGAATGGGTGTGCGTGACGCATGCGGGCGCGGGCACTGGGGCCTTCGGCGGAGCTCCCTATGGGGCCACGAAGCGTGTGAGGGGTGTGCCGAATTGGGTGTGCGTGACGCATGCGGGCGCGGGCACTGGGGCCTTCGGCGGAGTTCCCTATGGAGCCACGAAGCGTGTGAGGGGTGTGCCGGATTGGGTGTGCGTGACGCATGCGGGCGCGGGCACTGGGGCCTTCGGCGGAGCTCCCTATGGGGCCACGAAACGGTGTACTGGGTGGGTGAAACGCAGGGAAGAGGGGGGTGATGATGATGATGATGATGGTGATGATGATGATGATGATGATGATGATGATGATGATGATGATGATGATGAGTATGATGATGATGATGATGATGATGAGTATGATGATGATGATGATGATGATGATGATGACAGGAGGGAGGGGGCAGCGGGAAGAGGAGGAGGGACCGCGGGGCACCGTCTCTTCAAAACGAGGACCCAACACCACAGGATGGTTGGGAAAAACCATGCAAAGTGATCGCGGGTGGCCAGCACAATACCCACGACGTTGTCGCAACGTGCACTTTACATGGTTTTGTTGACACTGTCGGTGGCCGTGCACAAAGCGGCTTCATTAAGGGTGCCCCGCCATCCCTGGGCGCCAGCGCACTGTCCAGATTCTGCTGAAATGTGCACTTCGTATTCTTTTGCTTTGACAGGGATTGTGGAGGGTGTTGGCAGGGTGGGCCACGCGATATGCGTTTCGTATTGTTCCCAACCATCATGTTGTGTTGGGTCCTCGTTTTGAAACGACGGTGTCCCGCGTTCCTCTCCTCTCCTCTCCGCTTCCCCTCCTTGCTCCTCTCGTCACCATCATCATCATCATCATCATCATCATCATCATCATCATCATCATCATCATCATCATCATCATCATCATCATCATCATCATCATATTCATCTTCATCTTCAGCATCACCATCATCATCATCATCAGCATCATCATCATCATCATCGTCATCATCATCATCACCATCATCATCATCATCAATATTTTCAGCACACCCCTCACAGATTTCGTGGCCCCGTAGGGAGCCCCACCGCAGGTCCCAGTGCTACCGTCCGCATGCGCCACGCACACCCAGTACAGCGTTTCGTGGCCCCGTAGGGAGCCCCACCGCAGGTCCCAGTGCTACCGTCCGCATGCGTCCCGCACACCCAGTACAGCGCTTCGTGGCCCCACAGGGAGCCCCACCGAGGGTCCCAGTGCTGCCGTCCGCATGCGTCCCGCACACCCAGTACAGCGCTTCGTGGCCCTATAGGGAGCCCCACCGAAGGTCTCAGTGCTACCGTCCGCATGCGTCCCGCACACCCAGTACAGCGCTTCATGGCCCTGTAAGGAGCCCCACCGAAGGTCCCATTGCTACCGTCCGCATGCGTTCCGCACACCCAGTACAGCGGTTCGTGGCTCCATGGGGAGCTCCACCGAAGCCCCCAGTGGGACCGTCTGCATGCGTCCCTGAAACCCTTTCACCCACCCAGTACAGAGTTTCGTGGCCCCAAAGGGAGCTCCACCGACGCCCCCAGTGGGACCGTCCGCATGCGTCCTAGAAACCCAATTTGGCATTTTCACCCACCCATTACAACGCGTCGTGGCCCCAAAAGGAGCTCCGCAGAAGCCCCCACTGGAACCGCCCGCGTGCGCCCCGGAAGCCCAATTTGGCATTTTCACATATCCAGTGCAGCGTTTCGTGGCCCCATAGGGGGCTCCACCCAAGGCCCCACTGCCACCGTCCGCATGCGTTCCCCCCCACACAGTGCAGCGCTTCGTGGCCCAATAGGGAGCTTCACCGAAGCCCCCAGCGGGACCGCCCGCATGCGCCCCGGAAGCCCAATTTGGCATTTTCGCCTACCCAGCACAGCGTTCCGTGGCCCCATAGGGGGCTCCACCCAAGGCCCCAGTGCCACCGTCCGCATGCGTTCCCCCACACACAGTGCAGCGCTTCGTGGCCCAATAGGGAGCTTCACCAAAGAAGATATTCACAATTGCGGTGCCCACAACTGCATATGGTCGGGTCCTTCGCCAGGATATTTGTTTACAAGGATGGTGGGGGGGCCATCATGGTGTGCGCATGGTTCTGTGTTGGCTGCCAGCCGGGTGGGGGAGGGGGTGTTGATTTATGGGGAGCAGTGCTCAAGACACCCACCCGCCCGCAAGCCGTCTAGCTCACTCCCACCCGCCCTCCCTACACATGACTAACACCCGTGCCTGAGCATGGTCAGCGGTCGTCTTTGGATGGGCAGCTACTGGGAACCAAAGCCGACCCCAGGTGCGCGACGTTTGGGCCAGGTGCGCCACGCGCGCCAGGCACCCCTGGGGCCCGAGCGTGCCAGTCACGCCTGGTGCGCCAGATGCGCCACGTGCTCCGAGTGCACCAGGTGTGCCGCACACTCCAGCCGCACCAGGTGCGCTGCGTTCGGGGCACGTGCAGAGTGCGTCAGGTGCGCCTGCGCATGTGACAGCACACCTCGGGAAACATGTCGGCCCCCGCCATCCTTGTCGAAAACCGATGCCCATCATTGTGTTTGCTGGGCCTGCGCACTGCAGGCCACGCGCCACCACCCCCGCCGTCCCTGACAAAACCACTTGACAGTGATCGCGGGATGGCCGCGCACGATCCAGATTTAGCCGCGAGGTGAATGTTGCATTGTTTTGTCAGGGATGGTAGCCCTGCGCGCAGCAGGGAGTATGCTGACACCCCCGCCGTCCTTATCAAAAACAACACGAACAGCTCGCGGGCCTTACGAACATGACTCAAGACTTTGCCCCAGAGTGTACTTTGCATTTGTTGTTTGACAGGGATGGGGGGGCCGCGTCGGGTTGGCCGCGCATGCTCCGAATGTGGAGGCAGAGTGCGGTTCGTACTGTTCTCTTACAGGGACGGTGGGGGGCGGGTGGTCATGGTGTCGGCATGGTGCTTGGTTGGCCCCCGGTCGCCTGGGGGAGGGGGTGTAGACACAGTGATAAACCTTTTCCCGAAGGGGAAGAGGGGTTTCTGGAAGCGGAAGAAATGTATCGTTAGGCCATCTACGCCCAGAGGGCCAGTGGGATTCTTAAATATTCCACCTGTAGAGGCACATGCCCGACTTAGCCTTAGGGCTCTTTTCCTCGCCCCCCATGCAAGCAACCCCCCATTGCCACCCGCCCGAAGGTCGCTGGGGACGAGTACGTCGACCAGCTGGACAGCCTGGCGCAGCAGCTCGCGGAGGAGCGGGCCGCCCGGAGCGAGGCAGAGGCGGCGCGCGGCCACCTCGAGGCCGAGCTGGCCGGGCTGCGGGCGCTGTTCGAGGAGGCCGGTCTGGGGCACCTGCTGCAGGACTCGGTTGGCGATTACACAGGGTGTGGTTCGGAGGAAGAGGTGCCCATACTGCTATCCTACCCTCGTTTTCTCCTTTTGGGCCTCCCGGGAGGCCCTCGTCGCAACCTCTGGATTCGCATTGAAATTCTAGCCATAACGCACCCCTGGAGAGGTCTGGGGAGTAGCAGTATCAGCACCTTCAGGTATCCCCAGCTGCGCCAGGGTGTGGTTTGCGATCGGCACCGCTGGGGCCAGGGAGGCATGACACTGTCCTCGTCGGGCCTCCTCGGGGCACGGCGGAGAACTCTATCGAGGTCCCCGCCCGGCCCCCAGGGTGCCCCACAGGGTGCCGGTTGCACACCTTTTGCACACCACACCTTCGGAGTCGCCGACTCGGGCGGGGCTAGGACGAGGATGCATCCGTTCCAGGGCGTTCTGGAACGCTCTGAGAAGGCCGCGGCGCCCGAGACATACTCCAGAGCCGCTGGATCTCAGAGATCCCCGATTGATCCTCAACCAGTTTTACACTGGAAACCCATGCCAAGAAACAACTTGCTTGCCTCCAGGGTGCCCTGAGTTTCCTGGGTTTCGATGGTTGTTGCTGTGGAAAGCGTGACGTCTCCACACCAACAATCGATGGACGCCCTGGGATCTCAGGGTTGGACTTCTTGTAGAAGGTTTCTTGTGGTCGAGCTCCTGCTGCATCCTCGCCCTATAGCTTCGTTTTGTAAAGGACCCGGGCGCGCTGCGCGATTTCCTGGCCCTGCAGCGCCTCTTCGAGGAGGCCGCCCCCAAGAGTGGCGCGCTGCGCTCGCGACCACCCATCCCTGGCCAGGGCCAGCCTGGGCTCCCGGGGCGGTGTGCAGGCCCTCTCTGGTCGAGGCTGGGAGGCTCCAGGCACACCATCCCAGGCCTCCTCCTCCTCCTCCTCCTCCTTTTCCTCCTCCTCCTCGTTTTCCTTTTCCTCCTCCTCCTCCTCCTCCTCCTCCTCCGTAGCCGTTTTGGCTCAAGCCATTTTGGCTCAAGCCATTTTGGCTCAAGGCTAAACGTTGTGAAGGGCTATAGACGCCCGAGAACCAGCGATTAGCTTTGGCCCGTCCGTGGCCATCTCTCAGGCCGCCAGGAGGCCTTACTTCTCACGATCCCCTCGGGAGCCCCCGTGCGCCGAGGGACAAGTTTAACTCAATACTACGATCTCGCCGCCATGGATTCCCATAGTGACGACTCCGAAGCGCCTCGATCGCACAGCCGGAGCGATAAAGATGGCCCCGCACGCCGCTCCCGGCGTCGCGGCGACCGCCGTCCAGAGCGTCGCCCCCGTGCTGCAGCAGCTGAGGCCACCTGCGCGGCGCTGGATGCCCATGACGCTCTCCAAGAACAAGACCCCTGGCGGAATGGCCAGCGTCCCCCACGTGGTGGACCCGCCTCGGGAGACCTCATTCCAGGCGCAGCGGGCTCATCTTCGGCCGCGGCCAGCCCTACATTGGCCGCACAGCTGGAGGCGATGCCCACCTTCCCCTCGCAGCCTACGCAGCCGCCGGCTGCGCAGCCCGCCGCGGGTTCGGCCGCACGCACTGGCACGCGCGGCGCCCTCTCGGAGGAGATGCACGCCGCGCTCTCCAGGGTGGTCAAATCTCACATGGACTCCACGGTCACGCAGATGGAGCAGGTGTGTCAGCGCAACATGGCGGCGGCGCAGACCGAGATGCTCAAAACCATGTCCGAGTTCTTCGACCCTGCCATCAGGCGACTCGACGGTCACGACACTGACATCCAGCAGCTCCGGCAAGAGCAGCACCGCATGGCCCAGGAGAACGAGCGCCTCAAAAAGAGCGTGGACGAGATCAAGGCGTCCCTCGCCATTGCCGAGCGCCAGCTCTCGGCCACGGACCTGGCGCGCTTGGCGGAGTACGACCGTGATGCCGACCCGTGCATGTTCACCGCAGGCTCGCCCCAGCTCCTGGCCACCGACGCGGTCAAGGCGAGCCTGCGTGAGTGGATCTCCGACTCGGGCGTGGACACGGAGCACGTCGACGTGGTGGGCCCCGTAGGCCCCGCCAAGCGCTTCTACATCCACGGCGGCCCCGCGGCAGCCCCGCGCGCCGTCGCGCTCACCAGAGCGCTGCGCCGGCCCGGCGGACAATGGCGCACCTTCTCTGCCACCACGCCTTCGGGCCAGCAGTGCCCGCTCTATGTCGGGGCTGACAAGGCGCCCAGGCAGGTCCGGAGGGAGATGCATACGAAGCGGGCCCTGGCGCTCCTCACCGAGATGTACCCGCAGGCTGCCTGGTCTGCGAACCGCTTGCACGGCCTCATCAGCTGGAACTCCGTGCCTGTCGTCGAGCTGGTGCCCCAGGGCTTCGATGAGCCAAGCAAACTCTTCTGGGACCCCGCGGCGGACACCCGAGGGATCGACAAGGCGGAGGTCCAGCGCCGTCTCCAGACTGCTTTGGCGCATTCGGCGGTCAACACATCGACGTGGTCATCTTCCTAACGATCGCTGGTGCCCTTGGCTGCTGGGCGATGCGCAGTCCCCTCCAGGTGCATCCGGTCTCCGGGTGGCCACGTGGAATGCCCGCGGACTCATGTGCCATCGCGGTCACCAACGGCGTGGCAAATGGGCCCGCCTGGAGCAGTTGATGCGCCGAGGCATGTTCATTCTTCTCCAGGAAGTTCATGGTCGGGAGCCCGCGCTCCGCGCGTATCTCCGACAGTACCCCTACCAGTACCGTCTCTTCTTCTCCGCTGGGGCCACCCCTGGCACTGGAGGCATCGCTTTCCTGGTCCCCTGGCACTCGGACCGCACTTTGGCCGCGATCGACCCCCTTCGACTTCGTGCCGTTGGCGGCCGGGCGGGTTGCCACGCTGCTGATTTCCAATCCCGCCAGGAACCAGCATTTGAAGCTGATGAATATCCACAATTTTGATTTGTCTCTCTCAGAACGAGCGCATATCCGTACTGCGTGGGACTCCTCGGCCCGCTGGGCACAACAGGCTGAGCGTCATCGCCTGTTTGTCGCCATCGGCGACTTCAACGTCAGCGACCATGAACCTGTTCAACACCTTCGTCCACAACCTGCACGGGCTCGAGTTCGGCGCTCGCGCGATCCTCCTGGCCGCCCAGATGGCGCAGCGCCGGGCAGTTTTGATGCCGACGCGCACTCGGGCTCAGAAGGTTCCGGGGGAGCCCCGCCGGAACACTCTGAAGATGGATTGCCCCCGCGAGCTCCTCCGGAGGTCGGCTCGGTGTGGCGCCGCGCCCAGGCAGGCCAATCCTTCTGGAGGCGCCTCTTCCAGGGCCCCATGCTGGAGGTGTGCTGTGAGCTCCCGACGTACTTCTCCAAGGCGTCCTACAGCAGCTCCTTCATTGACCGCGCGTTTGTCTCGCTGCGGTCGCCCTGGGCTGCGGAGACGCACATCGCGATGGAGATCTGGCAGGAGGCGGCCTCCCTCTCGGACTGGGGCCTCAGCGACCACGCCATCGTGCAGCTGACCATCCGGCCGAAGGCGGAGTCGCCTCGCGACGCGCAGGCAATCCCAGAAAGCATCTTCAGGTCGCCCCGTTTCGCGCGGCACGTGAAGGCGTTCCTCGATTGCACCGACTTGGACGCCATGGGCACGTCGGAGCGCTGGGCCTTCGTCAAGACTCTGCTGCACGAGGCGGCCCGCCTCGCCCGGAAGGAGCTCCAGCGGCTACCGATCGGGGACGGCTCCGAGGAGGCTGGCGATGGCAGGCGAATCACTGCCAGGGCCATTGCAAGGGCCATCTGGCGGCAGGACGCGGCCTTGGCTCATACCCTCATTGACTCCACGGAGTTTGGGGCTTCCCACTTGCTCCTCGGCGAGTCCGGCGTGACTTTGCGCGACGCCGAGGCCTTCCTCAACCAGTCGATCCACATCCACGCACAATGGCACGAACGCATGCAGAGCCTTGCGGCACAGCGCGCTGAGGACGCGGCCCGGCTCCGCCCTGGAGGCGCCGGCCCCTCGGCAACGCAGCTGCGGAAGCTACATCGCGCTGCTTGCCGCCGGGCGCAGCTGTGGGCGCCGTTCCGACGACGCCTCCAGCTAAGCGGCATTCGCGTCGACAGCCCTGGCCACCAGTCGGAGACATTGCGCGGCGACGCCCCCATGCGCGCCGAGCTACTCCGCCACTGGGGCCCCGTCTTCCGCGGCAAAATGGTTGATGAGGCCATGATCAACCAGCACCTGGACGAGCACATCCCCGAGTACGAGGCTCCGCAGTTGCCCACGCCGTCGATGCAGGCGCTGGCTGGGGCACTCCGACGGGCTAAACCCTCGGCGCCAGGACCTGACCGCCTACCTGCTTCGGCGTGGCTGCTGGACGAGCGGCTCTTGCAGGTCCTCTACTCTGCGATGGTGGGCCTCTTTGCTGGGCGCGTGCCGCCGTGGGGCCTCAACTTCTCGAACCTGGCATTTGTGCCAAAAGGCGATGAGCCCGCCGACGCGGTTGACGTCGTCAGAGGGGCTGGGCAGGTGCGACCCCTGACCATGAAGAACACCGACGTCAAGGCCATGACGACCGCCGCGAACCACGAGTTAGCCAAGGTCATCGGTGAGCGAGCGCACCCCGTTCAGCAGGGATTCATTCGGGGGAGGAATTTATTGCACCACGTTGTGTCGCACGATGCGTACTGCAGGGCTGCGAGCCACCACAGTGAGATGATACCTGTTGTTGTGTCTTTTGATTTCAAGGCAGCGTTCCCCTCGCTGTCCCGGCAGTTTCTCCGCCGCGTGCTCCTCAAGCACAAGATCCCTGAGGGCTACTTGGCCTTTGTGGATGCCGTCTACGCCTCCTCTCTCGCTTACCTCAAGGCTGGCTCCCTCCGTTCCCCCATGTTCTTTTTAACTTCTGGTGTTGCCCAGGGGTGTCCCCTCTCGGGCACCCTCTGGGCCTTCGCCATGGACCCATTTCTGAGGCACCTGGAAGCGCAGACGGCGCAGATCCAGCACCTCCCAAGCGTGCCGCCGATGAACGGCGCCTGCGCGGACGATGTGGGCACCTCCCTCCCCTCCATTCGTGATCTCCCCCTCCTGGTCCCGCCATTCGAGGCGGCGAAAAAGGTCGCCACTCTGGAGCTGCAGCCAGCCAAGTGCGTATTAGTTCCTTTGGGGCAGCGCTTCACAGAAGCTGTTGCCTTTCAGATGCGCCAGTTTCTCCAAGACTTGGTCCCGGCGTGGGGCGCGTTCAAGGTTGCCGGCTGCACCCCATATCTGGGGATTGTGGTCGGCCCCGAGGCTGGTCTGGAGGATCAGTGGACGAGTGCGACGCGAAAGTGGAAAACCAGGACCAAGGACACGTCCCTCACCAGGGCTCCAGCAGAAGCGAGTTGCAGAATCTATAACATGGGGGTCTTGCCAGTGTGCCACTCTCTTTCCCAACTTTTCCCCCTCCCCGCTGCTGTGCTCTCTGCTGAGCGTCACGTCCTCCACCGCCTCCTGCGTCTCCCCCCAAACTCCTTCGCGTTAGCTGAATTGTTGAGCATTGGAAGCTGGCTCCCGTCAGCCACCCCACCCCCGCTCCGCACGACAGCGGCGGCAGCGGCATGGCGGACGGCCCACCACACTTTAGAGGTGGGGCTTGCGGACGGGTGGAGGGCAGCACTGGCGCAACTGCACGAGCATGCCTGGTTGCATGGTCCTCTCGTGGATTTCCTCCGAGGTGCTCTCTCCCCCGAGTGGTGGAGGAACCGCGTCAGCATAGTTGAATACTTTGCGTTTTTGTCCTCCACTCCCCCCATGGGCATCCCCCAGCACGCATGGCAAGAGAGTGCGGCCGCGGCCAACGTGGAACTCCGCACTGCCGGGGTGGACGGACGCCGCCCCCGCCCACAGCGAGTGTTCGCTCGATCGCTTCGGCTTTCTTTGTTCCCTGACCTCATGCCCTCCCTTCTCCGTCGTCGCCTCTACTCCTGGCTCCCCCACTTCCCCCAACTCCAGGATCATGAAATCAGCCTGCGATGGATCGCGCTCCGGAGGATTCTTGCGAGATCCCCGCCCTCCTGGGCATGGGCCCATTTAAAGACCTTGGCTGGAGCTTGGACTACATCTGCACGGATCCCCTCCATGGACCGCCGGCCTTGTCTTTTCGGATGCGAGCCCCCAGCCAGTGACGATTTCAGCCACTACCTTTCCTGCCCTCGCCTGCTTCACCTCCTCGCTCTTCCTCGTGGTTACTTGCCCGCCTCCCCCATTACTCGCCTCGGATTGGGGATGGAGCCCGATCCTGAGCGAGAGTATCTACGTGCTCGCTTGCATCAGGTAAACGTTCTGGCGTTTCACATACATCACAAGCTGAAGGCAGAGTATGATGCACGAGGGAGCGCTCCCACCACTCCCACATTTCATTACACGATTCTGGCAGCAGCGAAGGCCGCCAGTGGTTGCTGAGCTTGCTGTCGCGCCGTAGGTCCGGACTCATTCGGTACGGTCGCTCCTCCTCCTCCTCCTCCTTTTCCTCCTCCTCTTCCTTTTCCTTTTCCTTTTCCTCCTCCTCCTCCTCCTCCTCCTCCTCCTCCTCCTCCAATCCAGGGCCCTGGGCGGCCCTTGCCGGCCAGAGCGGTGGTCGCGTGCCGCCGCCGTCGCCGGAGGCTGGGCTCGCGCACCTGCTGCGCGACCTGGGGGCCCTGAAGGACTTCCTGCACGTGGGGCGGATCTTCGAGGAGGCGGGGCTTCGAGCCTTGCTGGGGGACCCGGGCGGGCTGCGGGCCTTCCTGCAGCGGGCCCGCGGGCTGGAGGAGGTCTTGCGAAGCCTTGGGCTGGAGGATGTGCTCGGTGACCCTCGGAAGCTGAGGGGCATGCTGGAGACGCTGGAGAAGCTCAGGCAGGTTCTGGAAGGCCACGGCATGGGCGCCTGCTTCCAGGATCCCTCCAGCCTTGCGGAGGTCCTGTCCAGGTATAGCGGGATGAAGGCGGCGTTCGAGGACCACGGGTTCCCCGAGCTCTTCGAGGACCCAACCACGCTCGCTGGCTTCTTGAGGAATTACGGCCGCGTTCGTGTGGAGTTTCGGAATGTCGACCTGGAATATTTGCTAGACAGCGCGCCCGCCATGCGGGACTACCTGAAGGCTAACAAGGAGGGCGCTGCCGAGCTAAAAGAGATGCGCGATCTGGCGGAGAGGCTGAAACTCATGGAGAGCGCGCTCGATAAGGCCAACTCTGATCTGGCTGCCTCGAGGAAGGAGCTCGAGAAGGCGCAGGCGGAGCTGAAGAGCTACCGCGACCTGTGCCCAGACGTCAAGACGTTGGCCGAGTGGAAGGACATGGTCAGCCAGTTCAAGGGCCTCATGAAGCTCAAGAAGGCGTCTGACAAGGAGGCAGCAGAGGCCAAGAGGCTCCTCGAGGAGAAGGAGAAGGAGCGGCAGGAGGCCTTGGAGCGAGAGCGCATGATGGCGCTGAAGTACAAAGAGCTCGATATCTTCAAACTGGACGTCATCGCCAGGGAACTTAAGAAGCTCGACACGGAGCTGGGCGGCCTGTCCAAGCCGCTGAAGAACCTGCAGACCGACGCCCATAAGCTGCGCAACCACGACGAGCAGCAGCAGATCGCGCCCCACGGCGACAAAATGCTGGAGCAGTGCCGCGACCTGCGCGGACACATCCACGACGTGATCAACAAGTGCCTGTCGGAGACACAGAAGATGCATATCGGGGTCGCCGTCCAGGACCACCTCGCCGCCGGGGAGCTGAAGGAGGGCGGCGTGATGGCCGGATACGTGGTGGAGGAATCCGCGGGAGGCAGTCGTATTGAGTAGGAACCGACCGTCCTGGCATTCTTACAGATTTACCATGACATGTTCTTAAAATCCTACATGTTGTAAGAACAAAAATTAAAGTTTTCAAAACATAAACCCGACGTGTTGGATCAAGGCAGTCTCAGCCAGAAATGTTCTAAGAACATGTCGCGCAGACCACAAAAGGTTCTCATAACATCCTTTGGTGGGACTACATGCAAGCCAGGACGCTTCGCCACTGCTCGACTGTATGCCACCACCGTGCTTGGCTGGGGCCATGCTGAGCCCTGGCATGGCGTATATAGGATCCCAGGCCAAGGATTCACAAGCCCACCCCCCACTCCCCAGGGGTGTTCCCGGCCCCCGCACCCCCGCATAGCATGGGGGGGCGACGACGAGAACGACGACGAGTTCGGCAACAAGGACGACGACGAGCACAACGACGAGGACGACGACGATGACGAGGAAGACGAAGACGACTACGAGGAAGACAACGACCACGACGACAACGAAACCGACGACGACGACCCCGTATAGGTAGATGGCGACGTAGATGGTAACGTAGACGACGACGGAGACGACGACGCAGACGACGACGTAGACGACGACGTAGACGACGTAGACGACGATGCTGATGGTGATTGTGATGGCGATGATGATGATGATGATGATGATGATGATGATGACGACGATGGTAATGGTCATGGTAATGGTAATGGTAATGGTAATGGTGATGATGGTGGTCGTGGTCATGGTGATGTTGATGATGATGTTGATGGACAGGGTGATTATAGTTATGGTGATGGTGGTGATAGTGATGGTGATGATGATGATGGTGCGTATGATGATGATGATGATGATGATGATGATGATGATGATGATGATGGCGCTGATGCTGATGCTGATGCTGATGCTGATGATGACTGCGACGATGATTAGTATGGCAATGGTGATGATGATGATGGTGATGATGGTGATGATGATGATGGGGGCGGTGATGGTGGTGGCGATGATGCTGACGATGATGATGATGACGATGATGGTGGTGGTGATGACGATGATGATGAGTATGATGCTGCTGATGATGATTGCTGTGATGCTGATTATGATGTTGATGGTGATGATGGTGATGATGCTGCTGACGATGATGCTTATGATGGTGATGATTGTGATGATGATGATGCTGATGATGATGATGATGCCGATGTTCATGTTGGTGTTCATGATGATGATGATGGTGGAAATGTTGGTGCTGATGTTGGTGATGCTGCTGATAACGATAATAATAACAATGACTATGACAATAATGAGGAGGAGGAGAATGCTGCTGCTGATGATGATAATGGTAATAATGGTGATAACAATGGTGGTGGTGATGATGATGATGATGCTGATGATGGTGATGGTGATGGTGATGGTGATGGTGAAGAGGAGGAGGAGGAGGAGGAGGACGACGACGATGACCTCTTGGGCCTCTCCTGGAGGCCGAGTCCAGGTGCGCTGGAAAATGGTAGCCTTCCTGCTCCCTGACACCTACAAGGAGGGGGGGGCACCGCAGCACCACACCACACTCACGGGGGGGAGTCGAGGGGTATCGTCGCGGGGGAGAGGGGGGTCTGATCCCGTTGGCGATGGGAAACAGAGGGGGGGGGGGGGGGGGGCGACCCTGGATCATATACGCCCTCCTGGCCAAGGCCATCCAGAGCTAGGACTGTACATCATCCTGGAACCCAGGATGCGCCTGGCCGGGCACGGGGGTGGTATATACGATGCCCTCCGTGGAGAGGAAGTGGACGTGCCCGACCACGGCAACTCCAAGGCCGCCAAGCTGCGGCAGGGCGACGAGATGGGCCGCGAGCGCGCCAGTCGCGCCGCAGCGTCTCTGGCGGCGAGCACGTGAGCCGCCGCACACGTTGGCTGCACCGCAGCCGACCCCTGCCAGGGAGCCGACAGAAACGCCGCTTCGACGCGTCGGCGATGTTGACGTGCGCGTTCAAAGTTCAAGGCCATTGGCCGCCTGATTCGGGCCAACCTTGAGCGATCTGTCAGAAACCAGCGTTCAGGAAGTGGACGAGAACAAGGCGGAGGAGGAAGGGGAAGAATTCAGCAAGGGCGCCCTCGAGCAAGCAAGCAAAGGCCACGCGTCCAGAAGGACGCGTTGACATACTCGAAGTTGCGCCATTGGCAACTGAGTGCAATAGTTGAGGCACAACAACGTCGAACAAATCTGGGGCGACGAACTGACGTCAAAACTGGCTGGCTGCTCAGAGGTAATGGGTCATCTTGTACACTTCAGATGCCCTTGGTTGCCAGGGCCGGCCGCGACGACGACCAGGGCGCGAAGTGATTCGCGCCTCGCGCTTCGCGGTTCGGCCCCGATTCCTCTTTATCTTCCCCTTCTCCCTTGGGGAGCGGCGCGAAAGCGCGAAGTTATTCGCGCAGCGCGAAGCGCGAAGTCGGGTGCCTAGTTCAGGGAGCGAGGGAGGTCAATGCTCGCTTGGCCCTGTGGCCTCAGTGCGAGGTGCCCGAAAACGTGAGGGGCACTTTTGTGACTATCTGGAGAAGGCCGTGTGCTGCAGCCACGTCGGGGCTCTCTGAGCTCCTCCATTCAAGGGAGGAAAAACCACCCGGACCCGACAATTGGCGCTTATTGAACTGCCTTCGGCGTTTACTAAACAGTCCTGCCCTGTTCGATTCCTTCTCTGTGTGCGTTTACTAAACGGCTTCGCTTGTCGGGGTGATTTTTATGGGGTGCATGTTTTGCCGTCTATCCTTGGGATATGGAACCCTCTTGGCCCTTTCTGGGAGCCCTCTTGGACTGGTCATTGGGCTTGCTGGTGCCATCGTGGGGCTGTTTGAGAGCAGGTTGGAGGCCTGTCGGGGCCTCGGGACTCTACTGGAGCCTTCTTCGGCCCAGTTGAAGTTCTTTTTGGGCTCCTTCAGGAACCCTGTTGAGCATCCTTGGAGCCTTCTCGAACTAAACATGACGCCCTTGCGGCAGATGACCCTGAACAGCTTCACGTTGTGGCGGAGAGAGGGGCATAGACGGAGACGTTTCGAGTGACTTGGAGGACAATTGGAGACCACGGGAGACAATGGGAGACATCGGGCGACCACGGGAGACAACGGAAGAGAACGGGAAACAACAGGAGGCAACGGGAGACAATGGGAGATACTGGAAGGCAGCGTGAGGCAACATGAGACAATGGCGCCCCACCGATTTCAGATCACGGTAGCCCCGCCTTCGGTTCTTAGAAACATTAAACGGGACACGTACAGACAAGTTGTTGGTTAACGAAACGTGTCTTCAAGTTGCGTTGGTCTTCGTTTGAAAACGACGTTCGCCAGCGTGGACCCGAATTGAGGGCTAGTGCAAGCTCGGTGCGCCTCGCCGACCTTGCCAAGCACGCTTTGCAGTGGCACCCGAGAAAAGAATTGGCATCGCCGCAGCAGGAGCCCAGTCTTGTCTGCACCCGCCTGGCATTGTCCTGACGGGCCGCCTGGACAGGGTCGCGGGCAAAAACGGCATCGCAACCATAGCCGAGGCAAAGCTCGACCCGGATTTGCTCCAGCATCTGGAACAGCTTAGCCGAGCAGCGCCTCGGGTCGGGCAAGGCCTTCTCCAAATGCGTCCGGAAGGATCAGGCGGCATTGTCTCTCAAGTCTGATTGCGTAGGCATCGTGGACGAAGAGCACCCACCGACGCGCCGCAGCCTGAACTCCGACGCGAACTTGCCTCCGACCCCGTCGAAGCGTTTCGCTGTTTTCGCGCGGGCAGCGCGGAAAACGCTGCGATTTTGGCTAGAACGGCTGACTCAGAAAATGCGGGAGGCGGCTGCCAGGGACAACATTCCCGAGGACATTCTCGCAATCAATGGGAAGACAACCATGGGAGAGGGGTTCGCCGACAGCGCTTTCGCGCACGCTCTGATCCAGCTTTTGAAACCAGGGCAACGGGACGACGGCTGGCCGGCAGACGGCGGGTGCCTTTTGTTGCATGCGTCCGTGACTCTTCTCGGGGCCCGCACCGCGCAAGTGACGATGGGCGGTGCAGAAGTCAACCTCTTAGAAGAGCCAGGGTCCTTCCACGCGGGGAACCTGCTCGCACTGGGCCACAACGCGCGTCACCACAAGTCTTTGCATACCTTCGACCCAGCAGCCGCAACAGCACAGGGCCACGCTAAAGCTGCAACAGCCGACAGCGGGCTGTAGATCGCCGCTGCGATCCGCTCCGACTTGTTTCGGAATGCGAGGGCGCGTAAGATCAACGCCACGCCTGGCCCAGTAGATGTCCCCCGAGTTGCCAGCAGGTGCGCGGCCCAGCACTGGGCCGAGATCCCAGTGCGTCTGCGTGACCTGGCGGCGGCCCTCGCAGAAGCGCGTCGGGCCGATCTTGCGAGTCGCGACCTCGGCAATGAGGCGGCGCTGGCCTGGCTGGAACAGCAGGGCATGAGCAACTCAGGTCCTTGCCATCTGCCTTCCCATCCTCTGCCGATGGTCGGCGCCCCTCTGGCGACCCTGGATGACGATGACGACGACGATAATGATTGGTGACGGTAATGTGAAGAAGAGGGGGCGATGATGATGACGACGACGATGATGATGATGATGATGATGATGATGATGATGATTGGGAGGGGTGCATATGCGAATGGGCAATCGAAGACCATCGAGAACCGCTCGAGCCAATCGAGTCGAAAAAGCCCCCCTACCGACAGCCAGTCGGGCCGTCGGAAGGCCGAAAAGAAACGAGTACCAAAATCTGCCAACAACCTACGGAACATTTCTGAGGTTGGCCTCTTCGAGCCTTCCAGAGGGATCTCTCGGAGGCCTCTGGGGCGGTCTCGAAGGCCGTCTGGGGCGAAGCCACCTTAGGCCTTTGTGTTCTTGGCGAGAACAAAACGCAGTGTTGCTCGCTGTCGGAAACCCTTCCCCTTGCCGCTCCGCCGCGGGCGCCGCGTTTTGCCGCGGCGCCCGTGGCGGGGCGGGCTGAGCCAGGTCGGGGGGGGGGGAGTTTGGGCTGGGGACTCGCCTCAGGTTTTCTTGGATTTCGTGTTCCTCGTCTTGTTCGTGCCCACAACTTCCTCGTTTCTTCCCGCGGCGGGGGGGGGCGTACATACTCCCGCGTCTGACGCGCAGCGCCGCAGGGCCCGCGCGTCGCCGGGCCGCTGTGGCGGCGTTTTCTTTTTTCGACCGCGTCACTAGGGCCGCGCCAGTGCGACCGCGCCGATCACGACCGCGCCAGCGCGACCGCGTCACGAAGGCCGCGTCAGTGCACGGGCGCGTCAATGCGACCGCGCCAATAAAGCCGCGTCAATGCGACCGTGCCACTACGACCGCGCCAGTGCGACCGCGTCAATAATGCCGTGTCAGTGCGACCGCGCCACTACGACCGCGCCAATGCGAACGCGCCAAGGAGGCCGCGTCAGTGCGACCGTGCCGATTACGACCGCGTCAGCGCGACCGCGTCATTAAGGCCGCGTCAGTGCGACCGCGCCAATGCGACCATGTCAATGCGATCGCGTCAATAAAGCCGCGTCAATAGTTCGTGTCAATGCCACCGTATCACTTCACTTGTGTCCATGCGATTGTATCAATGCGAGTGTCTATGCGACCGTGTCTACTAGAACGCATCAATGCGACCGCGCCACCGCGACCGCATCATTGCGCGTCGGCGGCGGGGCGTTCCATCTAGCAGCGCGCGCAGGCAGCAGACGCGATCCGCGCATTCCGCGGCGCGCGCCGCGCACGCATCAGCGATGCGCTGCAACGCCCGCGCCCCCCATGACCTCGGCAGATTTTCTCGCCGCCCATGTTGACGACAGTCGCGAAGCGGAGTGGCTGGGGCAGCGCGCAGCCTTGCGTCAGGCCACGCGGCCGCTTGCGAATGCCGCGACGGCGCGCCTGCGTTTCGCGCGAAGGCTAACGAGTTGAAGTCAGTGCTCGACCTCGCCTTCGCAGACGCCGGGACACCGCGGGGCGAACCGCCCGCTGGCAAGCGACCCTTCCTGGCCAGGGTGATAGCAGCCGCGAAAGCCCTGACCGCGGATCCGGCCAGCGCGGGCAGCGCGGCCGGGAGCGGGTCAGCGCTGGAGCAGATGCGCCATATGGACATACCCGCGGAGTTGCAGGATGGCGCCCTGAGGGGTTTGGGCCAGGCGCTCTGGCCGCGGCCCGCAGCGGTCGACGCCCTTGAGTCGGGCGCGAAGCGGCTGATGCGACGCGGCATCAAGCGGCCATTCGTTCTCGTCGACTTGAAAAAGTTGATGCCCGGTTGGGCGGAATCGAAGAGCGCGAAGGACGAGGCGGACGAGGGCCCGACCATGTCGAGGGACTTTCGGGACCTCACGCGCGCGCGCACGGCGTTGCGAACCCAGTCGAAGCGAAGTCGCTCACCTTCACGCGGCGGCACGCCGCGCGCGACAGGCGCGCGCGCGCGCCATCCATTGCGCAAGACGCGCGTCTAAGGACCGCGGCGTCGCATGAGTGCGCAAGTACGCCATATCTTGCGCGTGCACAGGGCAGATGTCATTGGTCTCAACGATTCGCCACCGCCAGAACGTCCTGAAGGCCCGCTCCCCCCCGTTGCGGTTCAGATCCATCGGCGCGAGTGCGACGCGCGCGCGGCGCGGCAGGCGGCCGCGCTGGCGCCTACGAGCGATCGGAGTGGCGCTCTGGGGCTTGGTTAAGACAACTTGTCGGCGCAATTGGGCAGAGAAGTCTCGCGCCGGCGACGATTCATTCGACATTGAAACTGCCGCGGCGACGGTCGACTCGATTCTCTCGAGCGACGCAGAGGCCGCGCGCGACCGCGACGCCCAGGAGCGCTCAGCCCCACGCGGGAGCAAGGGTGCCAAGGGTGGCGGAAGGTCTGGCAAGGACGGCGGCAAGGGCGCCAACGGCGGCGGAAAGGGCAAGTTCCTTCCAGCGCCCCCGGCGGCGCCGAACGACCGCGGCGATTGCGGCGAGCCGCGGGCCAAGAGAGCCAGGCATCAGGAGCGCTGACTTTCCC